AAGCAGTAAGGTCTTCAGGAACATGTAGTCCAGAAATCTAGTCTCAAGCAGTAAGCTAGTAAGGAGTTATAGGTAAGTTAAATACATAAATCTGTGATGTCAGTGACAATCAGACACCAAATGATTAGCCAGTCTAAAGCACCCACCCATCTTGCTCAAGCCCTAATGACAGTTCAGGGTAGAGACTCAACTTAAGGGCAGCTCACCCAAAGGAGGGCCAGTGGTCCAAGACCTGACAAGAAAACATAACTTGGGACCATCAGATACTTCTGTTAGGATTTGGGATTGGGACCCTGAAGGACTGAGCCAGTGAAATGAGGGCATCATAGAGTTTAACTCAAGAAGTTTGGGGGTCAGAATGATGATATGTCAACAGACAGCATTATACACATATTATTGAGAAATATGGAGGTAAATACCAAAAGAAATGGCATAAAATGTCACAAGGGGTTGCATCTGAAAAAAGGCGGTATGGAATTTCTTTTTTGTTGTTATATATGATCCTTTTAGTACTACTTGAAGTTTTGAACTCTAGGCTTATATTTCTGGGATAAAAATTAAAATTAAAAACCAAACAACAAAACAAATACCTCAAACTTGGGCTTTTAAGCCAGAACAACTAACCTACATATCACACGACCACTAGCTGAAGAAAGGGAGCTCCAGACATTCCTGTCCTTACTTGCCTCACTTCCCACCTAGCCCCTCCACTGTTGTAAAAAAATTTTTAAGTTAAAAAGCAAAACAAGTTTAAGGAGAACATTGAATGCCAAGTTAAGGAGTTGATCACTCCAACAACTTTGAGTAAGGGGGTAACTTTGAGAAGAAAATGACTTTAATGTCTGTATTTTAGATAAAGTGCTGATCTGTGTACAGGATAAATTTAATACAGATTGGCTGGTAGCCAGGAGATTGGTTATGAGATTAAAAATAGGACTAAATTCATGGCAATGGCATTGGAGAGAAAAGGTTGGTTAAAGAGATATAACAATGTAGGACTTCTTGGTGGTTGATCAGATACAAGGGACAAGGAAAGTAAATTTAGTGAGTATCTCCAACTGTCCCATTTGTTCAGAGTCCCTTCCTAAAAGGCACTGCCCCCTCACCTATTCCATGAGATTCTGGTAGTGAATCAGAGTAAACTCATGTCCACAAAACTGAAGATGTATCCCAAATCGGCCACTCAGCATTCTCCTTCCCTGGACAGTGTGTTTAGTTCACAGACATAACCCAAAATGAATGAAATTCATTTCTGGGAACCTTTCTACCAGTGTTGTTGGGGAAGATGCTCTCTCTCCCCATAAGTTTGGGATGCCAAAGGCAATCATCCTGACATACAGATAGGGCCTATCAAGAAGACAGAAAGTCAAACAGACATCATTTGATTAAACCCATGCATGTCTGTACCAACAGGAGCCAGGCAATTAACTTTTTTGCTTATGATTGTTTAAACTGGATTTCTATCATTTGCGTAAGAAAGAGGACTTATTAATGGGGAGTCAAAGATGGTTAATATACATATCAACAAATATTTACAATGTTCTACCAAATGAACAATTTATTTTCCAGTATAATGGGAGATAAAAAGGAATTCTAAGACATGCCCTATGTACCTTGAGATCTATTCCAGCCTTGTCACCAATTATCAATGTGACATCAAAGTCATGTAATAGCTCTAGGATTCATTCTTCTCTTTTATAAAACTGAGGAAAAGGAAGATTGCATTGTATTATTTTCTAAAGATTTTCCTCAGTTCTAAAAGTTTTATGATTCTATGCTATGACATAGAAGAATTAGTGAGTCACTGAAGGTTCTAAAATATGGAAGATTGGCATGCAAAAACAATTAAATGAAAAAGACTGGAAGCTATCAAGACTGTGGTAAAAATTCAGAAGGAACATTTCATGAGCCTGACCTAGAGAACATGAAAAAGTAACTAAGAGAAGAGGATGAACATAAAAAGCATTAGAAGAAAGTAATAATTTGATGCCTATATATATGAATATGAAGGTTAGTCAAGAGTTACTTCAAGTTTGCTAGTCTAGGATATTAAAACAACAATAAAATCTTTAACAAAAATGAGGTCATTGGGAAAGTACAAGTATTGGGAGAGAATCAGTTATATTTTGAGCATGCTGAATCTTAGTTTTTGGTATATATTAAAATAGAAAGTCTACAGACTTGAAAATTTAGAACTGAAGTTCAAGCGAGAGAGAAGTCAGGGCTTACATTATATTTTTGAGAATAACTGAACATAGATGGAATAGTGAAGGTCCTGGGAGTGAATAAAAGTTATAATAAAAACTAATAATTGACATGATCAGTTTTATTCATAGGCAAAATACGTTAAAATTGTATTTCATAAGCCTTTAGCTCAATTTATAATTAGTCTACTTATAAGTCTCACAATCTTTGCATAAAAAATATACATAATCACTTCCACTTATGTTCTACTATGGTTTAATTAATTCACAAGCTTAACAGACTAAATATTACTTAAATATTTAACATCATTTCCATATTCAACTAACCAAATTTTCTTAGACATTTTAAATACAATTACAAAGATAATCTATTTAACATCTAGTCAGTGAAAGCATTCGCGCAACTCTTGTAAATCTATGGCCAATAAACCAATCATACATGTGGTCATGAAATTCTCTTAAATGTTTCATACATCTTGAGGCTGTCAAAGCACACACCACAATAATGATAACTTTCAAAGAAATAATGAAACTGTACTAATTTACCATCTTTATATTAAAGGTTACAAATTGTGACAGACATGTAGATGTGCCACTCAGATACTTCTTCAAGAAAGGACTAGCTGGCCTGCTTGAGGTCAGGCAGCAAGATCAGCAGATGACCTCCAGCTGTTAGCTCTCTCAGGGTCTGCCGCACATGCTTCCCAGGGCAGCTCACATCTACTAACTCAGGGAGGGAGGGAGGAGTATAAACTTAGGGGGGTGAAACATTCTTACCTACAATACTGGCTTCTGAGCTCTGTTTTAACATCTGCATCCTGGGCAGGGAACTGTGGCTCACGCCTGTAATCCTAGCACTCTGGGAGGCCGAGGAGGGAGGATCACTTGAGGCCAGGAGTTCCAGACCAAGCCTGAGCAAGTGCAAGACCCTGTCTCTATCAAAAATAGAAAAAATTAGCTGGGCATGGTATTGCATGCCTGTAATCCCAGCTACTCAGGAGGCTGAGGCAGGAGGATTGCTTGAGCCCAGGAATTTGAGGTTGTTGTGAACTAGGCTGATGCCATGGCACTCTAGTCCAGGCAACAGAGCAAGACTCTGTCTCAAAAAATAAATAAACATCTTCTTCTGGGGAACCTAACTGCAACACAAATTAACTCACCCAACCAGGGAAACAGAATTGCCATCTCAGACCTCTTACAGTGACTGAGACAGAAATTTGGAGTATCAGCTGAAATTCTTGTCACTACTACTTCCAGTGATGATTTTACTTGAGCCCCAGGTGAACAAATTGAGTCTTTTTTAATAGTGAGACTCTTCTTGTTTACCTGATATATTACTGTAATCTTATTCACAATAGTTTTCCACCTAATATAAATTAAGTTTGCACACAAACACAGCTGGTAGTATGCACAACCAGCATTGCACCTAGTCCAGGCTCTGCCACCAATTATTTAATACTTTTTGGAAATTGGGCAAGTTATTTACCTGTGTATGTTCAGTTTCCTTATCTGTAAAACAGGGATAATCATCTGATAAGGTTGTGAATAAATGAATTAATGCATTAACAAGTGTATAGAACCTAGACAATGCTACCTATTCAATAAATGCTACCTATTATCATTATAGTTAGTTCTACTATAGGTCTGAGTTCTACATTGCCTATATATTTTCTTATCTCTTTCATCAATCAACATTCTATAATAATTTGACAAAGCAATTACAGAAAAAGTCCTTATGTTTCATTAATCTTAATTATCAAACTCTTCAGATTTAGCTCGTTAAGTCCTAGACTTTAGTTGAACTTGTTTAAACACAGTTCTGCCTATCAGTTTAAAGTTTGGGGTTTTCCCAGTTCATGATGATGTAAACCAGACCTGTGAAGATTATATTGGGAGCATATATGTAAAAGATTTTTCTGAAATATAAAATGTGAAAATATATCATTCCAATGTTGTTCTGAAGCTAGCTAAATCACTCCTGCAATTACAAAATAAAATTCTTTGCTCTCCAAGTAAAACTGCACCCCCTCCCCAAAAATAATGATGTCCACCTTTGTGGTTAAAGTTCAAATGAAACCGCTTTAATAGAAATAATTTTAGAATAATAATGACATATGTACAGCCAGGGCAAGATGGAGATGCGGTAAATGGCTTTAAAACATTTAAGACTAAATGTCCGTCCTAGGAAATCATCTACGCTGTACTGAAAATTGTATTATTAAGGGTTTGGCTTCTTTCAACACCTAAGAGATCTTTTATCACGCATTGAAGAAGCATATTTAGTAAAAACAAAAGCTGCCCTTACTTTTGACCTCAAGTCGGGAATTGTCTGTCATAGGTGCAGTGCTCGAAAGCACGATCCAATTTTCCTTTAGTCATGTCTACGGGGCCTCGAAAGGCTAAAATATTGCAAACAACGGGACCCACTATTTAACGCTACCTGTCCCTTCACAAATTCCCCCTCAAGAAGCGCATCTATTTCAAGGCGCCAATTTGGAAACACGGACTCCGGGTCTCCACCGACGGGCCTCACACAAAATGGAAGTACACGGCCCGCAAGCTTTGGCCGTGCTGTTTTTGAAAATAGGGAAGGGCGTAGAACTACGGCTTAAAATATCCAATTGCTGGGGCAGCAAAATGAGTATTCCAGAGTGGGTGGGCGGTTGGGTGCAGGCTGTCGGGCGTTCCTTCGGGGAGGGCGCCACAGGGAGAGATGCAAAGACTTAAGGCGGACTTTGGGCTTCGCTATACCTACCGAGTCGCCCACGGCGGCTCCCCCAGCCCACCGGGGGCCGCCTGAGAAGTCTGGTGTGGGGTGGGGTAGGGAGAGGGCGTTTTCTTCCCGATTCTAGTAGGAAACCAAGGAAAAGAGGCGGCGGCGGCTGCATAACCTGGCCTGGGGTGCGGCCTCGGGGAACAAAGAGGTGGTGGAGGCACAGCAGCCGAGGCTTTGCGCGCTCCTCCGGCCATGCGAACCCGCACAAATCACCCCTGCCTGGACAGGGCGCCAGGGCTGACGAAAATGCAGATGTCTGGGTTTCACTCCAGCCCTGCAGGATCACAAACTGTATGTGGCATCACCCAAGCATCCGCATTCTAAACCAGCCCCGGGCGGAGAGGTTCAGGGAGTTTGGGAACAATCGCCCCACGCCCAAGTTCCCACATATCACCAATTCAGCTCCACGACTGCGGTGGGGCCGCGCCTCAACCGAGCTTGGTCCTCTCCTTTTGGTCCCGCCCCGCTGCTCAGCGCGGATTGGTGGCGGGGAGAAACTCTGGTGCTGATTGGGCAGCGGCGGAGTCGCTCGTGCAGACTGTAGGGTTCGGGTGCTCCAGAGTGCTAAGTTTATCTGCAGACCAGCGACCGCGCCAGCAGCGAATCGGATCTCTATGGAGGTGGCATAGACGATATCCCTGAGCTGAGAGCATCACCCTGTCCCCGATTCCTTCTTTCCTCTATTTTGTTTTTCATTCCCTTCCCTTCCCCTCCCCCCTCCAGTCCGCGACGACTGGCTCTTGACCCTGTTCAGGCCTCGGTGAAGGTGAGGAGCAGAGTCGCCACCGCTGCTAAGTGGTGCGCTCTGAAATGGCCGCTGCCTTGAGCTGTCTAAAATGGCGGTCGCAGGCTCAGCTGGGGACCGCGGCGCTGCTGTGCAGCCCAGCCGCGGCGAAGACCGTTCTCTCCATCGCTGATGGAGATGAAATAGAAAGATGGTGTTGGGTGCTGAGATGTTTTCATGTGGTCGTTAGCTGAGGCGGCTGTCCGGGGACGCGAGAGGAGTCCTGAGACAAGGGTGGGCTGCGACAGGAAGCTAGCCCCCAGATGTGGCGGTCTGCGGGCAGCGCGCACCTGTGACAGGCGGGCGCTAAGGGATAGTTGGCCCACGCCGCACATCTAGGCGACTGGTGAAAGAAACATTTAGATGTTGGACGTGGTGTCGGCACCCACCTCCTGCCTCGCCTTTACGGCTGCCCTGCACTCTGACCCTGCCCTCCTGCCAAGGATGTTATTCACAGCTGGAATCACCTGAGGGTGGGGGTGGTGAAAGGGTTGTGTTACCTGTCTGTTTAACCGGAAGATGACACCAAAAAATTTAAAAAAAAAAAAAAAACCACAAGAGTTCCTCCGCCCCCTTTCAGGGAGTGGGATGGAAAGTTTACTCAGGGGAGACCAGATTCTTTGTCCTCGAGAAATTGAGGAGAAGCACCTCTGAAGAAGTAGGGATGAGGACATTCTTTCTGAAAACAAAACTTCCTACTTTCTGTGCCCTTCTCTGGCAGTGAGGGAGAGGGATCCTAATTTTTTAGGTGAACCAGGGCTCCACAATGTTCTCTTCCAAAATCCAAATTGAGACTTGAAGGAGAATCTACTACTCTTTTGCTCCCAATATGAAGTAGGGCTTTCTGCTGTTGCCGGTATGAGACCCTTAACTTTCTGGCAGGTGTAATCCATTGTTAATCCATTTCACTACAGAGCCCAGCAACTTGTGGTAGCCAGATTTTTTTCAGTGCTTCAGAAATTAAAAGAGTATTCAGGAACACACAAGTACTGGCTACACTCGTGGTCTGTATAGTTGAAACTTTTTGGGTGCTGTGCTTGGTTTTTTGCATACATGGTGGTAAGTCAGCAGATAACTTAACCTTTCTGTGTCTTTTATCTCTAAAGTGAGGTTATTAATGTTCCTGAACTCCAGTAGATGAATTGATCTATATGAGGAAATAAGCACAGTTATTGGCACATAATAAACAGTGTTCACTCAAACATTGGTTACCTGAGAAGATTAGGTATTGAGGGAACAAAAATGGTTAGGGCAAAACACATATTTCATATGACACTTCCATATATAATTACATTTTTGATTTAATGCTTAGTTTTAGAGACAAGATGAGGCTAGGCCGGGCGAGGTGGCTCACGCCTGTAATCCTAGCTCTCTGGGAGGCCGAGGCGAGTGGATTGCTCGAGGTCAGGAGTTCAAAAGCATCCTGAGCAAGAGCGAGACCCCGTCTCTACTATAAATAGAAAGAAATTAATTGGCCAACTAATATATATATAAAAAAATTAGCCGGGCATGGTGGCGCATGCCTGTAGTCCCAGCTACTCGGGAGGCTGAGGCAGCAGGATTGCTTGAGCCCAGGAGTTTGAGGTTGCTGTGAGCTAGGCTGACGCCACGGCACTCACTCTAGCCTGGGCAACAAAGTGAGACTCTGTCTCAAAAAAAAAAAAAAGATGAGGCTATACTTTTTAAATTTAGGTTTAGTTTCTGCAAGTTTTTTTAAAAATGCATTTCTATGAAGTTACTAGGTAGAGGAGCATCCCAAGACAGTAAAATTGTTGGAGTACTAAACAGGATGAAAACATTAGAATTTTTACTGTGCTAGGCATCTTCTGTTCCAGTCCAAGATCTACATTGCAGTGAAGAATCATTTGCACTGCCTACATCCAAAATAACTTAATTAATGGTCATCTTACAGGTTTGTATTAATTCTACATGTTGCAGTGTCTAATTTTAATTTTTCTCATTCTAGGCTTTTGGTTACTCCCTTTGCTACCCCATACCTTAATTTTATTCTTTTGAAGAGTCTGCCTTTCAAGCTGCCAAGGTGAAACGAGTGACTGCAGAAGGGAATACTCCTTATTTCAGGTATCTTATTCTCTAGCTGTTAATAGAAAACCATTTTGATTCAGGATCTAATATGAGAATACAAAGCTTACTCTATAGCCAAATTATAAATAAAAAGTAGCTATTATATGTGGATAGACAAAATTTGTATACCTTTACAGGGCTAATTGTATTCTTTAGTAATCCTTAAATAGCGTTGCCCTTTTCGTTATATTCATTTTTAATTACATGAGGAATAAACCTATTAAAATAAGAGTTTATGTTTTCTGTAGGTCCTGATTAAATCTTCACTTACAGTATAGTAGAATGCAGAAGAATCAGTAAAAATATACATTACTTTTAATGAGCCTTACTTTAGATAATATAAACATTTATGTAATTTTGAGTCCAGAGAAATGGCACCTAACTTTTGGACTACAATTTATTCTTCATCATTAACACATAATATTTAGGATACAGTAAAATTCTGTGTCTTGCAAAATTTTGAGCTGTGTATGTGTTTTTAATACACCTCATCAGAATTGTTGCTAGCCCTGAAGGGAGACTTCAGATGTATAATAGTATCAACAATTAATACATCTAATGGCAATAAGCATCAGAAAGTTAAAAGCACTTTCAAGATACTATATACCATGAGACAGGGTTGATAAATTATGGCCCATACTGTCTGTTTTTATACATAAAGTTTTATTGGAACATACCCATGCTTGTTCTTTCATGTATTACCTATGGCTGCTGTCATGTCACAACTACAGAGTTGAGTAGTTGCATCAGAGACTATAGGGCCCACAAAGCCAAAAATATTTATATATGGCCCTTTACCAAAAAAAAGTTTGCCAACCCCTATCATGAGACATATTCTTCAAAGTCCCTTTCTTAAAAATATGCTTATGAACTCTTCAGTATTTCTTAGCTCATTGATTCCCAAATTATGTTTTATAGAATATTAATATTCCCTAAGTTAATGTTTTGAGGAAAAGATTTATGCTAACAGTAGTTTAAGTTGATTTTTATATAAGTTTATTTAAATATAAGATTAAGACTACTAAACACATTGCTATAGCTTTTATTTTTATGTGATAATCTACCTTTAAGAAAAGGTGTGCCATACCAGAGAGCACCAGGAAGTCGCTTGAGAGATCACCTGATACACGAACGTATGATGTTCCATCTGCGCATTGATGCATAGGCAGCATTTACAAATTAACTGATGTCTTACTGTATATCGTCTTTTTGATGATTGCTCATCTTCTTTGTATCCTGTCTTATAATTTCAACACATTTGTGATACTCGATGTTTATTCTAAATTAACCATGTTTTGTACCACAAACTCATTGCCCATGGATCTGTTGCTGAAACAAGGAAATCTTAAACAAGAAGTAGAATCTTTTTGTTATCAAATTGTGTCTGAATCAAATGATCAAAAGGTTGGAGTATTACAAAGTGAAGATGAACAGTTGCAGCCTTCAGTTTCTAAAAAATCAGAAAGTGAGCTTTCCAGGGTCAAATTTATATCCAATTCCAACAAAATAGCTTTTAGTAAGAAACCAAAAAGAAGAAAATATGATGAAAGTTATTTGTCTTTTGGATTTACTTACTTTGGAAATAGAGATGCACCTCATGCTCAGTGTGTGCTATGTAAGAAAATTTTATCAAATAGCTCCTTGGCCCCTAGTAAGCTTCGAAGACATTTGGAAACTAAACATGCAGCGTATAAAGACAAAGACATAAGCTTTTTCAAGCAACATCTTGATTCACCTGAAAATAATAAACCCCCAACACCTAAAATTGTCAATACAGATAATGAAAGTGCTACGGAGGCATCATATAATGTAAGTTACCATATAGCCCTGAGTGGAGAGGCTCACACAATTGGAGAATTGCTTATCAAACCTTGTGCGAAAGATGTAGTGATGCGGATGTTTGATGAACAATATAGTAAAAAAATAGATGCAGTACAACTATCAAACAGTACTGTTGCACGTCGAATTAAGGATCTAGCTGCTGACATTGAAGAAGAACTTGTTTGTAGACTGAAAATTTGTGATGGGTTTTCACTGCAGCTAGATGAATCAGCTGATGTTTCAGGACTTGCTGTGCTGCTTGTGTTTGTTCGTTATAGGTTTAATAAGTCCATTGAAGAAGACCTACTACTGTGTGAATCTTTGCAGAGTAATGCTACTGGTGAAGAAATATTCAACTGCATCAACAGTTTTATGCAGAAACATGAAATTGAATGGGAAAAATGTGTTGATGTTTGTAGTGATGCTTCTAGGGCAATGGATGGGAAAATTGCCGAGGCTGTCACCTTGATAAAATATGTGGCTCCTGAAAGCACCAGTAGTCACTGCCTATTATATAGACATGCACTAGCAGTTAAAATAATGCCTACATCTCTAAAAAATGTGTTGGATCAGGCAGTACAAATCATCAACTATATTAAAGCTCGACCACATCAATCCAGACTACTAAAAATTTTATGTGAAGAAATGGGTGCCCAACACACAGCACTTCTCCTAAATACAGAGGTGAGATGGCTTTCTCGAGGTAAAGTTCTTGTAAGACTTTTTGAGCTTCGACGTGAACTGTTGGTTTTCATGGATTCTGCTTTTCGACTCTCTGATTGTTTAACAAATTCATCTTGGCTGCTAAGACTTGCATATCTCGCAGATATTTTTACTAAATTAAATGAGGTTAACTTGTCAATGCAAGGCAAAAATGTGACAGTTTTTACAGTGTTTGATAAATTGTCATCTTTGTTAAGAAAATTGGAATTTTGGGCCTCATCTGTAGAAGAAGAAAACTTTGATTGTTTCCCCACACTCAGTGACTTTTTGACTGAAATTAATTCTACAGTTGATAAAGATATTTGTAGTGCCATTGTACAGCACCTAAGGGGTTTGCGCTCTACTCTGTTAAAATATTTTCCTGTAACAAATGACAATAATGCTTGGGTTAGAAATCCTTTTACAGTAACTGTTAAACCAGCCTCATTAGTAGCACGGGACTATGAGAGCTTGATTGATTTAACATCCGATTCTCAAGTAAAACAAAATTTCAGTGAACTTTCACTAAATGATTTTTGGAGTAGCCTAATTCAAGAATACCCAAGTATTGCAAGGCGTGCAGTTCGTGTACTTCTTCCTTTTGCTACAATGCATCTGTGTGAAACAGGGTTTTCATATTATGCTGCAACAAAAACAAAATATAGGAAAAGACTTGATGCTGCACCTCATATGCGGATACGACTTAGCAACATTACACCTAATATTAAACGGATATGTGATAAAAAGACACAAAAACACTGTTCTCATTAAAATTGGAGGGTTTTGCATGTCTCTTGATAACCAAATGTAAGATGAAAATAAAAGATGATTTACTTCATCTCTGGTGTTTGGAAGTTTAAAATGATTGAATTTTTTTAATACTTAGATTTTAAGAAAGTTAAAGAATCAGGAAAATAAACATACTGTGTTGTTATTGATATTTCTTATTTACATTGTAATTTCAAAATGCTACATGGTCATAACTGGGAAATGATGATCCATATGATAAAGTCCCAATTCCTTAGCATATCTCTTCAGGATCTAATCTTTATCAATCTTTCTAACCATGCCTACCTTGCATCCCTCCAATCCCATGGAACTTCTTGCCATTCCCTAAACTTATTAAACTGTTCATGGTTTTAAGTCTCAAAAAACTATTGTCCCCATCTTGTTTCCTGACAGACTCATAATTGCTTTCAATACTTTGGCTTAATTTATCTCAGGTACTTTCATTCTCTGTATCTTTCTATTTTGACCCTATTTCCCACTGTTGTATTTAATTTTTGTGTCTTTCTGAACTGTGAACTCCTGGTGGTCTCATGATTCCCAGTGTTTCTGAACTGAGCTTTTAGAGGTTCTTATCCAGCTCTGCATCTCCATTATCTGGCAAAAGGCTTTACTAAACTAAATGCTCAATAAAGAGAAAACAATGTTTGTGAAAGTGAACCAATAAAAAATGAAATAGGGGTTTCCTGCCATTCATTCATTGGCATGGTGGCATGTGTACATAATACTACCCTTTGTATTTTGGGCTCAGTTATTAGCTAGAATTCAGTGTGGCCATTATGCAGAAGTCATTGAGGGAATGTCGTAGTTTTGTGATCAAGCTTTAACTGTTGAGGGAGAGGGGAGCCAAGTATGTAGAACATTTTCAGATACTATGTTTCTCAGTTTCTATAAAGATTGTTGCAAATTCCATATACTGGACTCTAAATTAATGAGACTTTACTCATTACTGTACTTAAAGATGCTTAGACTGGAAATCATTTTTTTTTTTAATACTATAAAAGATTCTTGACTGACTTTTCTGTATCTGGGCTACTTTTCCCATGTCACATCACACAACACAGGTCACCAACTCTGTTAAATATTGGTTGCTACTGTAGATAACCATTGCTTAATCTCACTTATACATATCTATCTCCCATTTTGGGGAGTAGGGATATCCCCTCCATTAAGGCAAAATGTAGTAAAATGACTAAATTCTAATGCCTGCACTCCACTATTTAATGTAGAACAATCTGAACTTTCTTAAACCTCAGTTATATCATCTGTAAAATTAAAATTATGCCTCCTTTGAATGATTATTATAAAGATTAAATAAGAATGTATATAAAACTCCTAACAGTGGGTAATCAGGAATAAGTATGCAACGTGTATTAGTTACCTGCCATATCCAACCGTGTTCCAGTTAGGCTCAAATCCATACTTCACATTTATAATCTGAATTTTTATTTTCTGTGAAGACTCAACAGCCCTTCCTACTGGGGCTAGCCTTGAAAAGAAATAAAGAGAAACTGAAGAAAAAAAAAGATGAAAAGAGAATCAACAGCCTTTTAGGCTGTAGGATCTATCCTGATCTGAGGCAGTAAGATAAGCATTTCTAGCCCATGTTTTTTCCCTTTTGTCACCTTACTAAGCACCTATTTGTCTGTCAGGCACATTAGATACTTTGTATGTTATCTATAATCTTTACAACAATTCTGTGGGATTAAGTAATCTGGTGATTTGCCCTAGATCATGCAATAAGTAGCAGAATTTAGTTTAAGTCCCCAAAACACTGCATTTTCCCATAATTGCCTTTCAGACTTTTCTAAGAGCATCAAACAGTGATGTAGTAATAAAGCCTAAAATCTGGACATGTTTTTGAAATCCCATGTTTACTTCTAAATTCATCCAAAATTAGCTGTCTGCTTCAAAGTATGGCTGCTTATGTTCATATAAAATAGGGATTAAGTTACTATCAAGTAAAATTAATTCTCCAGAATCATAATTTCTCATAAATGCAATACTTTTTTATCTACTAATCCCAGGATTATATCCTAGTTTGAGAAGCATGTACAATGCCATAATGTCTATGTCTGGCTTTTACCTCAAGTGTGGTAACTGGACTCCTTACATGATTGCTGAGCCTAAACTTTTGATTAGTTATGTGTCCCAGATGTTTGCCTCTTGAAATTTGAGACCTCTTGTTTTCGAATCTTTTTTCCCCAACCTCTGAGAGTCAAAATTGCTGCATTTAAATCCAAGCCTGTTACCTGGGACCCTGCTGTCTGCTCCTAGGCCCTACCCAACTTGATTCTTGAAACCAGCTGTTTATCTGTTCTATAATGTATAGGTATGGATGCCTTGCATGGCTAGCGAGAATGGACTTTTAGAGCCCGAAGGAGGGTCTGGTACCTGCTGAATGATAGGCAAGTGCAGTTACAGATAGGAACTTCTAGATTACCCTAACCTACTGTAGTTACCATGACTGAATCCCAAAAGAGAAAATTAAAATTCTTTTTATTTATGTTTGAACCCTACTTATTCTTCAGAATTGGCTTTCCATGCTATAAATAAAATAAAAGCAAGCAAAACAAGGAGCACTGCCATCCTCCCTTTCATACATACTTCCAAAGTCCTTTGGTTACCGTTCTGCCAGTACAACATCCCTGAGACTGCCAAACTAGAAGCTCATTCTGGAGCAAGAAGGAAGCCTCAATAATGGAAGAGCTATTTGGGGACTAAATTCTCCTGGTACTCCCAAGTGACAGCTACCCTTCCTGTTTATGCATGAAATAGTAAAATTAAACTGATGTGTCCAACCCAAAAAGACTTCCCCACCTTTAATCCCTATATTTAAAGTAATTGAAATTGAAATTACTTCTTTCCCTTTTTTCTTTTTTTTTTTGTCTTGCTCTGTCACCCAGGCTGGAGTACAGTGGTGCAGTCATAACTTACTGCAGCCTTTCTGGGCTCTAGTGATCCGCTCACCTCAGCCTCCTGAATATCTGTGACTAAAGGTAGACACCACCATGCCCAGCTAATTTTTCTTATTTTTCGTGGAGACAAGGTCTTGCTATGTTGCCCAGGCTGGTCTCCAACTTGTGGCCTCAAGCAATCCTCCCACCTCTGTCTCCCAAAGTGCTGAGATTATAGGCATGAGCCACCATGTCTGGCCTCAATTTTGTTTTGTTTTGTTTTGTTTTGTTTTGTTTTGTTTTGTTTTGTTTTTGTTTGAGAGAGAGAGAGTCTCTGTCACCCTGGGTAGAGTGCAGTGGCATCATCATGCTCACTACCTCAAACTCCTGGGCTCAAGTGATTCTCCTGCCTTAGCCTCCCAAGTAGCTAGGACTACAGGTGTGAACCACCATGTCTGGCCTATCAATCTTTTTTTTTTTTTTTTGAGACAGAGTCTTTGTTGCCCCGGCTAGAGTGAGTGCCATGGCATCAGCCTAGCTCACAGCAACCTCAAATTCCTGGGCTCAAACAATCCTACTGCCTCAGCCTCCCAGGTAGCTGGGACTACAGGCATGCGCCACCATGCCTGGCTAATTTTTTCTGTATATTTTTAGTTGGCCAATTAATTTCTTTCTGTCTTTAGTAGAGACAAGGGTCTCGCTCTTGCTGAGGCTGGTTTCGAACTCCTGACCTTGAGCGATCTGCCTGCCTCGGCCTCCCAGAGTGCTAGGATTACAGGCGTGAGCCACCACACCCAGCCCATACATCAATCTTGCCCTACCACTATACATTCATAGATACACCAAGCATAAGCTCTTTGTAGCTATGACTTATTTTGGGTCTTCCATAAAACTTGGTAATTTTCTAATCCTATAAAAAATGCACAGGGAATTGAATTTCTTAGTTTAAAAAGTAAAATATTAAGGTGAAATACAGTTCATAGTATAACATTGCAAAAAATTATAATCCTTAGCCTCGCTGAAACAGATGAAGTAGTAACTAGTCTGCCTTTCATACACTTCAAAAGTAGCATTTCTTTAATTAACTCCCATTCCCTTAAAAATGCAATTTGATTGCCCAAAATGTAATTCACCTACATTTCTTGAAAGAAGCCATCAGTTGTACACATTTATATTTTAAAGTTGGTATAACTAAGTGCACTGTTAATTAGTACAATGGAAAGAATTCTGAAGTGGGTGTCAAGAGACTTGTGTTCTGCAACTAATTAATTGCCTTAAGTTCATCCCCATCTCTAGGCCTTAGCGTCTCCATTTATTAAGCTAAAGGGGTTGAATTAGAATGAGTTCTAAAGTATCTACCAGTTAATATCTAAATTTAAAGCTATATATAGATAAGGATGATAATAAGATATGCTCAGTCATTTGAAATATGTGTTTTTTTCCTTCGAAGCCAAGCTTTTTCAATGAGTGTTTTACCATAATACTTTCCACCAACCAAATGATAAAACATATAAATTGCTCCATCATAGATACTTACTGGATGGAGGGAAAGAAGTATTTTTTTTTGGAAGGGAAATATACTTTGAAATTTAGAAAACATTGAAAGGGAAATGAAAATGTTTAGTTATGACTATATTGGAATCCATATAGATTAAATGGTAACTAAAGTGAAAATTGTAGGCTATCTCCCCAGCATCTATTTTTCTCTCCCAAATCATCCTGATCTGGTATCCATTCTTTTCCTACACAACCCATGAGTTAAGCAGAAGATGACCCCACTCCAGCTTTGAGAGTGGTGAACCTGTTTTGTCTAAGATAGTGGCTTTCAAAATTTTTTTCACCCTAATCCACAAAAAGAAACAGATTTTACATTGTGATCCAGATACATGTGTGTGTTCACCAAAGTTTAAAAAAAAAAAGAAACCCTCAAAAGGGGAAAAAAACCCCAAAATTTCCTTTCCTTTTCTTTTTTTTTTTTTATTTAGGACTGATTGTCTTTCAACAGTCTCAAATTTTATATTCCAGTTAATTTTTTAAATGATGGCTAGAACCCAAAAATTAATTTCATGATCCATTCTTAAGGGTTATGACCCACTGTTTGAAAAACCCTGGCAAGTATAATGCAATTGCCCTTATAAAAATTGTTCAGGAACCTGAATATAAGCCTACTGAGGTACACTGTTATGCTGGCCACAGGAAT